GCATTTGTCTTTTGCCGAAGCTCAGACTCTGGCACAGGATCGGGAACGTTGGAAGCACTGTCTGACGCGACCCGAAAGGAGAAGCGGCGATGGAAGATGAAGATAGAAAAAAGGTACCAACGAAAAATGGATTAAAAAAAATGCTGATGAAAAAAATCTAAACCAAAATCTTCATGCAATGACACTTCTGATATCAATTAATGCTTTCCAGTGAGCGCTGTCCTATTTGAAATAAATGTCCGCGGTCCAGCAGCCAATTGTAAGCAATGGGAGAGAGTGTGGCACAATAAGCTGTGATTGGATTTTGGAGGAGGTATGCACCGATTAACATACTCTGACGTAGGAAAATATTTTTGTTTATGCAATGGCATACAAGAAGTAGCAGTTCGTGAAACATCTTTCGTAGAAAGCGTGAAGTAGCTCTTAGGTACAAAACAATACAAGTTGCATCTGGAACTACAGGTGCTCAAATACCATGGAGCCGCCGTGAGCTCAGATGTCCCCTATGCAACAGTAAGTAATAGAAAAGTCAATATGCCGTGAAATCTGGTCATAGAGGAATTACGCGGAATTTAAGTTATTAAAACATGAGATTTCCCTGCATGTTTGCTGCCTTGGGTATAACCCTACTTACAGATTGGATAGCTGCATACCGTATGAAGTTATTACCCCGGAAAGTATAAACAAACACACTTTCCCTGGTTCCCGCTATGCTAAACATAAGCGAAACTAATAATCACCTTTAACTGAAACCGACTTGTTGTAATTTTATTGATCACAACTTGCTCGGAGACCAGTGGCTCTAGGTTTTTTAATAACTGTCATACTGAGCACGTAGTTTGGAGGAGGTAGAAACCAACTGATTTCGAATCATTCATTACAGACATCTGAATGAGAAAAGGAAAGTAACCTTAAGGGAACATTATGTTCATGGCTTATAGCCAGGATATACCCAGTAGTTCAATTAACTGAGAGCCCAACTGCCAAGCAAACTCACCGAAACAGCAACACAGTCATCTATAAACATAAAAATTAGTATTGTCACTGTTAGGGTTTGACAGAAAGCATGAAATGAGATTATAATTATACTACACATCACATATACTGGCTTCATAATGAGCAGTAATTCTTACTGACGAGTCGAGGTAACAATCAGCATGGTAGCGCAAACTTCAACAAATTACATCTCGCAGAAAATTGCAAGGAAAATTAAAGGCGCACATCGTCACCATCTTGTCTATATTTTTTTCTATTTTCTGCCACCATCATCTAAAGTTAAAGACTGAAGAGAAAAACTGACAAGATTAACAAAAAAATTCGAAGGAATCATTATGAATTTCCATTATCAGAAATGTACACAAGTGACATATTATACATCAGTAGTGCTGATACAATACGTATGAACTACAGCATAATAAAGCACATATCGGCGTTGTTCCTCATTGCGGTGCGCTGGATATGACCCATGATAATGGTATATTAACTGAAAAATTAATCTGCAATTTCGATATTCTCTCCAATGCATTCGAAGTGACCGTGCCTTTCCATGACTGTTTGCACTCATCACGTTCACGGTTGTTGTGGTCATCACTATCAAGGGAATTTGAGTCAAGAACCGAGTTAAAGTCAATATTATATGATGTCTAAGCTTTGGCTTCTCAGAATACGTTCACAGACGGCGTCCATTTCATAACTGCCATACAGAAAACGTAGCTACGCATATCATGTCTCACATGAACTCAGTTCACTGCGGTGCATCGAGACCTACAGTAAACCTGAGGCGTCACTGGTAGATTTTGAATGAGGCCGTTTGAAGCATCACATCTGACACGTGATTAAATCCAGCGGATGTGTTGCTCATGCTAGGTACCACAGAAGAAATAGCATTTAATCGTCTTGCGTAAAACCGGATTTATTCAATTTCGAAGGCTAATAGACAAATTAAACGGACGTGATTATATGATCAGAATGTGAAAGGGAAACAACATGATAAATTTTCCACCGATGTTCACATCCGGTTTTTCTTCGACAATTGCGTTACGAGTCAGTTTCACTCGCGAAAAAAATTCCAACCGATTTTTACTATTATCACATCACATACGTTGTCTATGCATCAGTAGCAGCAGTATTATCATGTACAAACGGGCCAAGCACCGCCGTTTGATTTTACGAGCGAATAAACCGAGAGCGAGACCAGAAGCGCCTGGAACCAAAACATATTTTCTATGGCAGTGTACACAAATACAAAAATATTCAGTTTAACCGAAACTTTATAGCCGGCCCACCACAAAGCATCGACCGTTCCTCTATGTCGCCCATCGAAGAATGCACGGTAATAGCTAGCTATGGTATGACAGAGGAACAGGCGGGAGAGGGACGGCACCCGGAGGACCGGACGCAACGAAGTACTTTGCACACAGTAATGGCAATCAAAAACAATCATGTTTATAAGACGTAGTACAACGCAGAAGAGCAAAAAATTAAAGAAATTTTTAAAAAAATTCAAAAGTATGAAAAAACAGAACGCGTTGCAGGGAAGGAACGATGACAAATATGTACACACGTGCGTCACGTCGTAAAGTAAAGTACGGGTAAGTAACAACGCAAACGATGTTAGGGGATGAATGTGACTGGCTGCCTAGTGAGTGTCGCGTCGTTGAGCGCGAGCATTTGAAGCACGTGTTTCCGAGCAGATGCGTTGTCTACAGCAATGCTAATTGAAACTATGACGCTACAGAATGTAACTAGCAAAAATGGGCGAATAACCAACGAAGGAAAGAAGGAAGGATGCTTACTAAAGCGTGGCAACAGACGGGGCATCGACCACAACTGAGCGGCACACAGACAACAGGAATGTTAGGAAAATGGCCCCGTAATGAACGAGCGACCATTAAGCCACCGCCGCCATGAAGACGCACGAATACAACTTATACAACGTTTCGCGCTGCTGAACTTTCCGCTGCCTGCCTAGTCGCTAAAGTACAGATGCAAGAATGGGAAGAGGGGGAGTGTGCATAAGGGCGGAGCCGGCCAGAGACGATACCGCACTCCTCCACAGCGTACAAATCAAAGTGTAAGCGTATAACAAAAAAATGCAAACAGATCGCACTATATCAGATCGCATGAAAAGTTCCAGTCAATCAATGAATCACAAAACTGCCCTCAACACATTGGTCTTGAAAAATGTTTCGTGAGCATCGATCGATGGCGGCGATTAGCGGCGGTCCATTGGTCCGTCACACAAACGTCGAAAGGTCGGTTCTGTTCCGGTCACTGCCAGGTTTGATAAACACTCGGTTGGGTACGCCGTATTGTCCTGAGAACATGACAAATATTAGCAGCAATAACAATCATACTAACAAATAAAAAATGACAGCAAAAACTTATAACACTAATTATACAAATAGACCAACGTGGTTAGCCATGAAAACTCGCAAAAGAGTAGATTCAGTCAGCAGTACCTATGAACGAGCCGTCCTCCGTAAAGCGGCCCGTCTCGCCGTCGCCGTACTCGGCCATGCTGTCGTTTTCTGACTCACCCTTACTCCTGCCGGTGAGCGATTGCTTGTCTTCGTCCACGCTGTAAACGTGAAATAACTTAGACGCTGTGTTCAAAAATACCGTCGCCGAATGCAGCGCCACGACTTACTCGGGGTGGGTGTATTCGTCGAAACCCTTGTCATCCTTTAGCATGGGCTCCCTGCCTTGCTCTTTTTCCTTCTCAGAAACTAAACAAAAAACAGTAATATTCATTTTTTATATACAGCATATAGTTATAACACTGATATGTATATTTATTTATATCTGAGCAACTGCTGCACCGGATGCATCGCACATAAGTTACAGCCGGGGTATCTGTCCTACTAGCCAGTGAAAGATATCTTAGGTATTGCAGCTGCACCAATATCATGGAGAAGTAGTCGGCTTAAATGGCCCCTCCATGCAACTAAAATAAGGCACGGTGCAAAAAGCCGTGAAACACGATTTTTGAGCATTCATGCGTATATATAGCAGTCAAACAACACAAAGATATAATGCAGATTATACATAATTTTGTGTAGCTCAAATTCCTAGGTATATATGGTACAGTTATAAGATACGACAGAATTTATATTTATGATGCATAGCATATGGCATATTAAATAGCTATTAATGAATGCACAACTCCCATCAAAATGAATTTATGCGCATCACGAAATTGTTCGATCACTTTTATAAATGCATACGGAGAACTTTAAAAACTGGCGATTCATGACAAGTGAACACATGCAGCGTTTAAGACCAAGGTATTGATTAAGAGAGCAAACTGTGCGTGTGATGCCTCCAGTAATACAGGTGTTCAAATACAACGGAAGCGTAGGCTTCTAAACAAAGGCGACTACGAGCAATGATGTGGTACGAACAAAGGAGCCAAACGCCAACAGGCCCGGCATGGAAACACGCACTGACACAAGCCCCTTCCTCCGTATTAACTATTCAAAATTGCACTGCAAGTCTGGTCTTAAATCAATACCACGACGTAAACTCAAACAATCAGGCAACAATGCAGAGGTTTTGCCATAGGAGTAGGCTTATAATTATCGAGCAAATCGTGGTATAACTGAACCGCAAATAAGTTTTAGCCCAAACCGATTCAGGCGGATTACCACTCTACAAGCTAACATTTGTACTCCAGATGAACATAACCACACCACTTTCTAAAGGATCTCTTTAGAACACTCCATCCCTCAAGAGAAATCAACAACAGTTGGTCTTCATAACCTTGGTGTAAGCCGTTAACATACGTTTCACGGAAACTCAAAGCTCGTCGGAAACTTCGGTGCCATCCACATAGTATATTTTATGAAGAAGGGACAGAGATCAAAGATGACTAAGACACCTCCGACAGGAAAGAGATACACAGCATCCTTCGTAACAGTCACACTTGGTCAAACTGCGTCAACGATGGCATGTCTCCCTACGCTGTTGTCCTCTTAGGAAAAGGACATTTAAACTGCATACCAGAAATGGAAACCCTCATCGCACAATCTATTCCGTCAGTTTCTACGAGAACTTAACAACACAATATGATTTTCCAGCTGCGAAATTTTCAGCGATTTCATAAGCAAACAAAAGAACCATTTTTTTCGTTGTGGAGTGTAGAAAATACTTCAAGCAACTGCAGACCTCATCCTCATGCCCCCTCGGAGTGTATGGACAAATTAAGTTCTGGTTGACAAACAGTGTAACACGTACATATGCAGAATACGACACTTACCCGGATACTTGGCACCTCGGTTTCTGATCACCAAGCAAACGATGATCAGTACAATGATGAGGATCATTATAGCGACGAGGATAGCGATTAACCAGCCTGCAGTCGCTATCCCAGGAGCTAAAAAGATGCAAAAACTAGGCTGGACGAGGAACGAAATAAAAAAACAAACATACCATCACCCTCGGTCGTGAATACGTTGACAGGAGACTCGGTTTCCAGACCTCCCTGTTCGGTGTCCACCACGCTCACCGACGTCACCTCGTACACTGTACCTGGTGACAGGTTCTGAATGCTGACCGTAAAGTTGCCGCCGTCCGGGTGCACCAACTGCCAGTCGCTCGCTCCTAAACATAACACTAAACTGAGCGACCGTTAAGAAACAGAACGAACTTGGAAAATATAAAGTTTGTAACCGTTGGAAATTTAAAATTCTTTAAATTTAAAAAAGGGACCATTTTGGCATTCTTCTTTTCATGAAATGTTTGTGGGGCGCTGACTGTTATTTCCATGCCAATGGCTAATAAAGCCTATGTGACATTCGTTTATTAACCTCTAAGGCGAACGACCAACCAGGGTTTAAATCTGGTACTTCTCGGTTATTAGGGCGATGCTCTGCCGACTGAGCAACTCAGGTGTAATTGGATGAGGTTAATGAGCGACCAGCGAGCAGGCCAGTACAATTCAGGCATCGTCGCTACCCCTACGGCGCAAGGGTCTGAAGCTGCGATTGAAAGAAGGGGTGATTCGAAGACAATCGATGCGACTGCTTCACGAAGATTGGCATTTTAAGTTCCTCGGCATCCATAGCAGTTCCAGTGCTACAGATACAACTTCTACTATCTTCCACATTAATTTCTCTTCCTCTTCACGTTGATATGCAACAGTATACTGATGGTGGGGCAAAGGATTTTCAGGATGACCGTGAGACGACTACGACCAGTGCTAGAC